TTGTTTAATTTCAGATTTATCAATATTAATCATTGATTAATTCATTTGAATTTACTGAATGACCTTACTCTAAAACAGAAAAAGTTTTCCTAATGGAAGTGCAAGTTGGTTTGAAAAGATGAGTTTCCTGGAAAATTCAATTTAAAAAAATTAATAATTCAGAAGTTTCAACTCTAATGATCCTACCGAGAAAAAAAAATTCCCAGATTTTCTTTGGTCTAAGTCTATTAATCACTCAAGTCTTACTCAGTTATACTTTATACATACCTGCTTATTGCAACAGGGTAACAAAATGGAGAGGCCGAAACAAATTTGCAACTCTGGCGCTGAGCGCTGTAAATTTATTCTCAGGTTGAAAAATTTTTGGTTAATAATTGATATCTGAATGGGATGCTGGATCTTCAATGAAATTTGTTTGTACTTATAAGTTTGGCTCAAACAACAGGAAAGTATTTTGGACGAATGCATACTTGAATATTTGATCTAATCACATCATCTTTTCTTTCCAGGCCGCCCTCAATGCAGCAACTAAGTCCATGAGTGTTGACTTGAAGTCTGATAAGATACTTGCATTGGCTCTCCACCCTGGATGGTTGAAAACTGCAATGGGAGGTCCTAACGCACCACTCACAGTCGATGCTGCGATGCCAGTTTTGATCAGTTTCCTTCAAAAACTAGATGAGACGCACAATGGGGGATTTTATTCTTATGAAGGGAAAAAAATGCTTTGGTAAAGGAATCACTCGCTTAAAAAATCAAAGGCTTTTTATGTTGGCTATCATGGTGAAATTGAAACATCAGTAATTACTCAGGAACCGGCTGCGATCGAAGTTGGAGTCACACTAGTTTATTTTTGAGATTTTTTTTATGAATTATTTTTCTTAAGCAGTTGTCAATTGATTTGTGGGTTTCAAAGATACTGTTATTCACCGAAGGTTATATCCATTTTACATAGGTATTTATCACTTTAAGAAACATTAGGACAGTTCATCCAAGATGGAAAGCAGTGGATTGCCCCAAGAATTACAGTAAAAAGCTCGACCTAGCTTGTGGTATATTTTCAACTTGCTCATTTATTTTGCCATTTGTATGTTTACGGTTAGCATTAATGGTTCTATACCCCGATTGTGTGACCGATTGAACTACATTCTGCAATAACGAACCATCTACTATCTCTGGCTAATTCTTGAGAGAATATGTAAGCTATTAAGTAGTTTAACAAAGCAGATACCTGCTTTTGTGGATGAGTCAAATGCAGTATGAACATAGTTCCTTATTGCAAAATGTGGTATAATCGACCAGAACACTAATTGTGCATGAGTTCTTTGCCTCGATTGAACTTCATTTTGCAATGAAGAACTAAAATTTTTGACTCATTCACAAAAGCACCTACTTGCATAGAAAACACATGAAACAGACAATATTTCTAAAATGAGCCAGAAGTAGTGGTCCCTTATTGCAAAATGTGGCCCAATTAAATTTCTAACAAAAATCGAAGCAAGCTACTTACTATCAAAAGCCTCACAATTTTGCACGAACAAATGTTAATTGAAAATTCTCACAGTCAAGTATGGCATTAAGGCATGGTCCATACACGTAAACGTGGATATAAAACCATTTAAGAGGTATCGCACTGCATGAGGTAGAGGTCTCTTAAAATCAGACTCAATATGTCAAGCTTTCTCAATCATTGATTTATTGTTAAATCTTAGTGCTCAGTTTGTCTGCTTTCACTAGCACAGCTTTGTTAGATTTAATTTATTTTCTGCCTTAAGTACTGTAATGTTTTTCAGGAATTGTGAAAATTTCTTGAATCCATCATAGGCTTTTTTTGTTTTTTAGACTTTTTGTAAAATAAATTTGGAGTCATTGTCACTTCAGTAACACTTTTTTTCTTTCTTTAAAAAAAATTAATCACTCTTTCGCATGGACACTTCCGCCCGACAATGGTTGCTGAGAGGGTTGCAGAAACGTTGTTGATCAAATTGATTTTGCAGTATTGACTTGCAGGATCCACCTTCTATATGTAGCTAAAATTATTGAGAATTCTTGACACGTTTAATTCAAGACGACTATATCTTAAATTAAATGAATCTATGAGAGTTTTGCATCAATTGCTCTACTTTAAGTGCTACTTACAGACTTTTTTGAGAGGTTGAGTCAGTCACCAATAAATGAGCATAAGATCGACAAAACTTGAAAACCAGTATAATGTATCTTAAGATAGTTCCAGGGAATTATCGGCTACACAATACCTTACTTAATGATTCAAATTGAATCCATCGGAGATATGTATCATAGTTTTGAAACAAAAATCATTACAAATGAGATCAAGCTTCAACTAAACAATAGATATATATTAATAACAACAGACACGTTGTGGAAATCAACTTTTTGGTCATCCTGTGATGCAGTCTAATGAGGTCAGTCATTGAGGCGAAAAAGCAAATCAATTTTCAAGATGCCAAATGTTTCTGACGATTTTGGCGCTTCCTTCATGGCAAAATTTCTAATATGCTTCAGTGTCTCAAAGTTATGAATAAATAAAAAAAATAATAAGAAAAGAAAAAAAAAATGATGCCATTTGAAAGAAAAGAGTCTTTGATTTTAAAATTTCCTCCACCAGTTAAACTGAATAAAATTGAATAAACGCGAATATCGA